GCTGTGCTGCAGGGGGCAGGGCAGGGGGCGGGGCAGGAGGGACTGGATGTGGAGGGCCGGGCAGGGGGCTAACCCTGCTCTCCCCCCAGGATTTCGTTGTCACCGCTGTCTTCGCCTTCATGTGGCTGGTGAGCTCGTGCGCCTGGGCCAAGGGTCTCTCCGACGTCAAGCTGGCCACGGACCCCGACAACGTGATCGAGGGGCTGGAGGTCTGCAAGAAAGAGGGGAACACGTGCAAAGAGCTGAAGGACCCCGTCATCTCGGGGCTCAACACTTCTGTGGTGAGACCCTTCCCCAGCCAGCCAGAGCTCTGGGGGGAGCCGGCGCCCCCCAGAGGGGACAGGCCCCTGCCCCATTCCCCACCCCCTGAGCCAGCCAGTCCCTGCCCTGGGGCTGGATGGGAACTGGCGCCCCCCAGAGGGGACCCCCTCCCTGCTGTGCATTAACCCTTCCTTCCCTCTCTGCGTCCCCCGCCACCCAGGTCTTTGGCTTCCTGAACCTGGTGCTGTGGACGGGGAATCTCTGGTTCGTGTTTAAGGAGACGGGTTGGAGCGCCCCCTTCGCCAAGTACCCGCCCGCCGTCCCGGAGAAGCAGCCGGCTCCGGACACCTACGCCGACTCCTACAACCAGGGCTCCGGCTACGTGCAGCAGGATTCGTACGGCCAGCAAGGCGGCTACCAGCCGGAGTATAACCAGCAGGGCTACGGGCAGCCCGACCCCTATGCCCAGCAGGGGGGGTACGGCCAGGCCGCCCCCACTTCCTTCTCCAACCAGATGTAGGCGGGTGAGTTAACCTGGGGTGCAGGGAGGGGGGTTGCGTTGTGTGGACGCAGGCCGGACTTACAGACTTCGGGGGAGTCTATCCTGGGAAGCAGCGACGCTGGATTTGGGGAGCGTGGGGGTCGCGGGGCCAAAAGAACTAGGGCGATGTTGGGGTGTATAAACAGGCGACTCTCGAGTGGGAGCAGAGAGCTGATTTGACCTCTGGATCTGGCCCTGGTGCGACAACGGCTGGGATCCCGGGTCTGGCTCTGGTGCTCGCCGTTCAAGGAGGACATGGATCAATCGGGGAAGGGCTCAGAGAAGAACCGCGAGAATGATTCAGTCCCTGAGAGCGAGAGACGCCAGGATCTCCCGCTGTTCGGCTGAACAAAGGGAAGGTGAAGGGGTGAATTGATCCTGTCTCCCGGGGGAACAAATATCTAATAACGGGCTCTCCCGTCTGGCCCTCAGAGGTCGAACGCAATCCAATGGCTGGAAGATGAAGCTGGACAAATTCAGCCTGGAAATCAGGTGTCCGTTTTTAACGGCGGGTGTAATTCACCGTTGGAACAATGTGAGCAAGGGTCACGGTGGATTGTCCATCACAGGCGATTTTTCAGTCAAGCTGGGACGTTCTAACTAGGGTGACCAGATGTCCCGATGTTATAGGGACAGTCCCGATTTTTGGGTTTTTTTTCTTATATAGGTGCCTATTACCCCCCATCCCCATCCCGAGTTTTCACACTCGCTGTCTGCTCAGCCTAGTTCTAAAAGATCACTTCTAGGAATTATTTGGCGGCCGTTCTGTGGCTTGGGTGATACAGGAGTTCAGGGTCGATATTCACACTGGACGATTCTGGCCTTGAAATCCCTGAATCTATAAGCAAACTGGGAAGGGTCCGATTTGCCCCGTAAATGTCACCGCGCCGAACAAACAAACAAAATATGTCCATCAAGAATCAAAATGTATACCTGGGCAAAGCCAGAGAAATGGGTACAAGTGGAAAAAGTGCTTCCAACCCATCATTTCAACTGTGAACATTGAAATCAGTTAAAAGAAAAGTTCTTAAAGCCCGTAGTTTTGCACAGCTATGACCATTTAAATGGATGAAAATTGAAAAAAAGGCTTAACCCGCAATTTTAACGGTGAAAATTTAAATTAGGAAAAATAAAAAATGTGCTTAAAGCCCATAATTGTGCACCACTGTGAAAATTTACATCAGTGAAAAGATTAAAACCCATCAGTCTGATGGTGAAAATTTAAATTGGTAAAAATAAGAAAAGTGCTTAAAACCTGTAATTGTGCAGAGCCGTGAAAATTTAAATCCATGAAGGTCGAAAAATTGCTTGACACCCATTCTTGGGCACGGCTGCTAAAATCGCAATCAATACAAGTAAAAAATACCAATGCTTAAAACCCATCATTTTAGCTGTGAAGGTTTACATTGGTTTGAAAAATTGCTTAAAACCCATCATTTTGCACAGTGGTGAAAATTTAAATAGGTAAAAAAAAACTTAAAAATAACCATCAATATTGTCCATCAAAATTATATTAAAAAAAATCAAATTCTGCCAAATCCCATAGTAACGAATTCCGTGTCTCGCCTTTCTCAAGGACTTTCCATTTTGATCGCTTCGCTAAAAAAAAGGATTCGAGCGTTGAATTTAACTGTATGGAGTTTTATTAGCTGTGCATAACAACAGCCATGAAGCGTGCAAGATAGAAGGATGCAAAAATGGTGTCGTGCTATGATTTGGCATAACATAAACCAGACAGTTGCTCGATCTACCCCTCCACGTTTCCAGAATCAAATAACACTTATCCTCCGTCACCAGCTTGGGAAGGTGACTTTGTTTAGAATAGTCCCTCGCTTGTGCCAGTTGCTTATGAAATCTGGGGTTGCTAACACAATCGAGGAAAAAGAATCCAGATCTAAACAAAAGACATAAAGGTCGTGTTCCCATTGGATCTGTAGTCAACCTTTTAACCTACTTCTCCATGAGTTATATTAATAGTCATCGACTCTGTCCTCCTGTGTCGCACCTATGGCCTTTCTCCTCCTTCCCTGGCTCTATACTGACTTCTCCTAAAACCTCACGCAAAAAAATCATGAGGCGAGGAGTTCCAATGGATTACATCATAAACTGGTGCTTCTTTGGGTCTGCTACAGATTCTGAGAAGGGACCATCGGGATTATCTAGTCTGACCTCCTGTATCACACAGGACTTCCTCCAAATAATTCCTAGACCAGATCTTTTAGATCTTGATTTTAAAATTGCCCAGGATGGAGAATCCACCACGAGCCTTGGGAAATTCTTCCAGTGGTGACTTATCCTCACCTAGAGCTTGCGAGGCCGTAAGAAACCGTTAAGCCTGGTGGGATGTTTCCCAGTCAAGAGGAACTTGTTCCGTTTGGGAGCAACTTTCCCACAATCTCGAGCAGCACCCGCTCCAGAACAAGGTACCTTCCCAGGGACGCCGGGACAATCTTTAAAGCGCGTGTACTGACACCTACATGTCCTGATTAATTAGCTACCCAGCTTCAGGTCAAACAGCATCCAGGAACCAAGCCACTGTCTAGAACAAAGATTCTATTTGCAGAGGAGGCGAGTGTCCCTGACGTGATTGAGATTTCGTAGCGCTCCGGTGTTTTGCCTGCGTTAGCATTTTCTGCTCCATAGCACAGCTCTGTCGTCGTGTTAAGTTGCTTCCCAAGGCATCTCGCTACTGAAAAAGAGGGGGGTGTCCAACCCGTGTGTTGCAACCGACCTTTCAGCCCGCGGTCGAAAGGCCTTGGATTGAACACCGATGACAGACGCTCATCTTCGGGGCTGAGACCATCAGGATAACGACCCTCCTGCCCATGTTTGACGTACGACGCTCCTGCTAACACACCCAGAACGACCTTAGGCGTTTTTGTGGCCACATCCTGTGGCGGGCTCTCCTTCAATCTGTGAGCTGCTCTAAGCTCGAGATCCTCTTCAGCCATCCCACCGTTAGCCGGCGATGCCCCCGGCGTGGGACTTTTCCTTCCGACGCTCGGCTCGCTGTGAATGGCCTCTTGTCGCATTCAGCCCCGTTCTCCAACTTGTCCTGGTCATTTTCAGTTCCCCAGTGGGCTGGCCACCTCTCCCAGCCCGGGGTCACCTGCAGCTTTGAGCACCAAACTCTCCGCTCCAGAAACGCTGGTCGAAAATCAAATGGGCACAAATACAGACAGACAGAGCTCCGTCGATCCGGGCGGACAACCAGCAGCGTGGCCTCTTCTGCAGATAGAGATCTGCGAACCTTCGGCTGTTCCTACGGGTGCAAACCTCCCCCAAATTCGTGTCCTTCGTACCCTAAGATTTTATCCCGAGTCTGTCTGCCTCTGCTGTCCACAGTCGTCGGAGATTTGTACCTGGTGTCTAGCCACATTTCTATCCCTTGCCCATTATCTGCACAACCCTCGGCAAAATGCACCTTGATCTCTGTGGGCCGCGCGGACAAAAGCTACTGTAATATACTGGGGGTCAGAGCAGTGGTTCTCTACCCTTTTGATACCAGGGAGCACCCTGAAAGTGGGAGGGGCCACAGGTGCCCGTGTCGGCCCCAGGATACTAGACAGACAAGACGGGGGGGAACATCTTTGATTGGCCCGGCTTCTGCGGGCAGACGAGACACGACGCGTCTTAGGCCCTACGAGGACCCGCCCGCTCGGTTACCGTTCGCAGCGGGAGTCAGGGACACAGTCTGGTCATTTTCAGGCTTTCAGGAAGGGGCCCGGCTGGGTGCCCCAAGCCGGTTCCTCTTCTTGGAGGTGCTGGTCTGGGCCAGGCCCCGTGAAGATTAGAGACGCCCAGCTGAAGCGAGAGGTCATGCAACCAGGGGGCCGAGGCGTCCTCGCAGCTGCAGCCAGCGTCTTCCAGCCCCTTCGTGCGACCCGCCTCGCCGGAGGCGCTGGGTCAGGCCACATTGTTCTTTGTGTGCCAGCCGCCCGTCGCCTCCGGGGCCTTCCGACCCTTCTCCCTCACCCTCCACGGCTAACTGTGACACCCCGGTTCCTATACGTCCTGCCAGTCGTCTTTTCTCCTGACCTCAGCAGGAGCTCGGGACCTCCCGCTGAACCGATTTGGGCCCTGATGGGTCGGTGACGCGGCTGATTGCTCCGTGCCGATCGGGCGTCCCTGTAATGGTTTCACTTCCTTTTATTCACCGCCTCTCCCGGCCTAGCTGTGGTGACAAGGCAAGGTAGAGCCATCTTTCTTCACTTCAGTCTGAACGCAACAGCCTCTCCCCGGCGGTTAAGCCCCACGGTTACAATATGTTCCCCTTACACCCCGCGCACCGTGTTTGCTTCACGTCGCTCTTGTCCCTGCTGTATTGGGTCACGTTAAGAGCCAGCTATTCCGTTCATGTCTCAACGGCCAGGCGGAAGCAAAGCAGCGGCTCGTGGCCTGCGGCAATCCGTGAATTCACCGGCTCGGGCCCTCAGGGGCCGTGGTGTGAGCTGATATCTAGGAGACCCACTGCGCTGGGGTGGGACCATGGCTGTTTTGTATCTTGACCCCGCGTTGGCCTGATTCTTGGGGCCAGGCACCAGAAACCCCACAGATCCTCAGTCCTGATCCAAGCCCCTTCCCCGGGCATCAGGCCGTGCCCTCCCCCATGAGAACAGCGGTGTGTGGGCAGAGATCACTGAGCAGAGTGGGGTCACCTGGAGAGCGGAAGGACATCAAAATGGCAGGAGAGGCTGAGATGCAGCCATCTCTGCGGTGGGGCGCAGGGGCTGTTTATACAGGGCGCCCGGCACTCAGATGCGACCGCTTCTGGGGAGAGCTGTTTAGTCAGGGATCTCGTGCCCTCTGCTGGGTTGTTATAATTGGGGGTGCCCGCTGCAGAGTGCGGGAGGGGTTAGCAGACTCAATCTGGACCCAGATGGACCCCCCGAGGAAGGGAAATGGCACGCCGGGTGGGGGGTTGCCTTAGAATTGCTTTAGCATCCTGTATTTCATAGCAGGAGCTGGTTCTGACCCACTGCACCCCCACTCCCCACCCGCCCCAGAGCCGGGGAGAGAACCCAGGAGTCTGGGCTCCCAGCCCGCCCTGCTCTGACCACTACACCCCGCTCCCCTCCCAGAGCCGGGATAGAGCCCCAGTGAGTGAAGAGGGGGGGGGGCGCGCATCCATGATGCGGCGCTCGCTGTATGTGCTCTTATTAATGACCCCTCCCCATCTTTCTCTCTCTCCACCCCGCCCAGGTCTCTCCCCCAGCAGGGGGCGTCGTGAGGAGAAGACGCCTGTCCCGTCCCACCCCTGCCATGTCCCCTCATGTGGGGGGGCTGGCAGGGGGACCCCAGGATGAATGTAGATGTTTGTGCTGTTTATATATATTATATATATATATATATGAGAAAATACAACTCTAGATAGCTGTGCACCCCCCCACTTCCCCGCAGCACCCCAACTCCAGACAGTTGTGCACCCCCACCTCCCTGCCCTGCCCCCAGCACCCCACCTCTTGCCCTTTCACCCCCCCCACTCTAGCCAGTTGTACACCCCCTTCCCTGCCCCCACTCACCCCCCAACGCCCTCATCCCCTGAGCACAGCTAACTCCGTG